CCCCCCCCCCCCCCCCCCCCCCAAACAACAAAAACTGAGCCCTTATGAAATTGTATTAGAAATTATTCCTATAACATGTAGTTTCTCTTTCGTTAAGAGAACAGTATATTACTCCAATGCCCTATCAATCTTACATAGACAACATTGCTTGCCAATTGCCAACATATAAATGAGATCATCCCTGACTACACAATCACCATTCGTAAGATTACTGGTTCCAGACTAGTGCTGACACTAGAGGAAAGATCCATATTATTGAGCAAGTGCCGATAGAGTTGTATTTTTATCATAGAAGTCAGCATTTTACTAACCTATTATGGCAAAAAACCTGTCCCATCATCATGTGATTTGCATCCTGGTTTCCTGATGCCTGGTATCATCTGTTGATCCCATAGCGAGATTTTCCATCGACTGTTGTTGCAGTTGATGATGGTAAATATGATGAGGTTGATATTGGTCAGGGTGGTGACGGTGGTGCTGTTGGTGCTCATGCTGTTGTTGCTGCTGCTGCACACTACCATTAATATGCTCACGGGAAGATCCTAGATGTCGGGTTGCCCTCCATCTCAAGTATTCTGCAAGCAACGAATTAATGCTGATTGCAATCCCAAACCCAGTGAATGAGGAAAGGAGCACCGATAGAATCTCATTTACGTTGAGCTACACATTTTAGAAAGTGCACAATAAGCATAAGTGGTAAACAATTATATTCATCCGGTGAGATAAACATAGTCGAAAGAGGGTCGATCTTCTTACGATGCTATAAAAGATATGAGCGAACAGTATGACGATTGCAAACTGGAATGAAGCATAAGCCCATAGGTAGCTCTTGCTCACTGCAAACATGAAATTTTGTAACATCTTCAGGTTATGATATTCAGGGATTAATACAATACATCAAAGGATAAACAAGAAAGGAATATCTTCATCAACACAGCAAAGTTCCAAGATATGAGTGGCAGAATGATGGCATTTGTCAATGCACTTTCTCTATTAAACAGCATAGGACCCATTCATCAACTGCAACAAAAATACCAATTTCATCATTTATTAGGGACTTTACCTCTTGAAAAAACAGTTATCCTGGTCATGATAAGTTGAGAACCCAATTTTCATCTACTTGTTGCAGTATTGTACATGTTAAATTTGTATATCTGAAGTCAAAGTTCACACAAATCTGACCATTATATAAAAGGTCCGTTCTTATGTAATTTCATATTCCTAGGGATTAACCCAAAATCCCCAATAAATGGTTTTCAAATGCGGCAACCCTAGGCATCTCACCCAATAAATAAGTTATGATGACTACTTTGATGGTGCAAGATTCCTGTGATGGAGAAGAAGCAATAGAATATTTCAAGTTGTCTTTAAGACGATATTTGCCCCCATCAATCCGAAAATCAGTGCGCATCGAATAACAACAAATTCACCTCCAGAATATAATGAATCCCATCTGAATTTCTAAATAGCCAAGACACTAGAATTCTGTTTCTGCGGAAAAACAAAATCCAGCACATAATTAACAAAAAGAGTTCAAGCCTTGCGGAAGAGGGAGGTCGTAGTTGATAGAAAAAGTGGTCTAGAATGTCTGATTTTTGGGCTATTTATAGGCACATTGGTGACTGTTCAGGCAGTCATTGAACCATCACGGGGTTGTTCAAGAGCAAAGAACATGTCTGTTAAATAAGAGACATTTAAACTTTTAACTATAACTGCCACTAACAATGATATTCTAACAATCATTTTCAGATTTAAATATGTCCATTTGATCACACCTTTTCGCAATCTATAGTCCAGATCTTGCCATCATGGAATCTGTTAAACCACCATCTACTGTAAAAACTTAAGTTGTTAGGGAAGGTATAACTTCAAAGTATTTTTACCTCAACACGCCCACTCACAAGTAGGCTAGATTTTGGGCTTAACACATGAAAATATTTTAATTAACATGATGGCATTGACATTGAACACAATATTTCCTACTCTGATACCATCTTAAACCACCGTCACATTTAAAACCTTAAGTTGTTAGATATTGTGTAACTTAAGTATTTATACTTCAACAGAATCCAATTTGATATAGTATTTACCTACCGATCGTATGTATAAATGAAATCGACCGTTTGAGCGCCCATCAATGGTAAAGATCTCATTGCCCAAATGGGCCTCTGAGCTAGCTTGTGTGAATGGTGCAAAATCCTAGTATGCACCCTCATGCATGCTAACATTCTTAGCATTAAAATAATAACATGTGATAGGTATCTATTCATAAATGCATTCCTTTTCTTCTCACTTTCCAATGACTCTTCATTAAGGGCTTTCACAACTTTTTCGAACTAATAACTATTCTGAAGCCCCATAAAAATTATATACTATATAAACTCTATTTTGTAAATATTTCCAACATGCTCTCTTAATTAAGCAGAATGCAAAAGTTTTTGAAGCAATTTGAGAGGCAGAAGGTTGGAAGCAGCCATGAAAGAAGCTTGAATTGGCATTCGACAAAGGTTCTTGGTGTCTCCGGTAAGAGTTTTTGGTCTCTCGAGTAAGTCCCCTTTAGATTAAAAGATGGCTTCAGTGAAGTGACTTACTGACTATTCTGGCTAGCATGCATTTTGACCATATGACATTAGTTTCAGTTTCTTGAACTGACAAGTGGACAAACAAAAAGGCAAGAAAAAGACACACACACACACACACACACACACACATATATATATTTATTTGCAAAAGTATAACAAGTTGAAGAAACCTTACCCATCGTAGAAGCTATCATGGATGAAAGGAGACCTAAAACACAAGAGAAAGGTAAAGAGATGGCTAGAGCACGAGGTCCCAGATTAGACACCTGCTCCAAATACAATAAATAAAGTTAATCATAATCTATTTCTGGAAAGAGAAAAATGGAAAATGTTAGGATCATATTTATAATTGGCTAATTTTGTGAAACTTTTTTGTAAATCTCAACCTATTCTATAGTCATGATACTATAACGATCAAGATCCGAAAGTAACAATTGAAGGGAGGAGTTCAAGATACAACCACACATCAAATACTCTTCAAATGCACATTTATGCTTAGGACAAATGTAATGACCTTAGAGACCTTAGCACCCGTGATTTAACTTTAGACCGGTTGGTTAGGTTAAAATGGAATCAGTAATTGTTCTCGTTAATGACTCCTAGGTGTTCTTCAAAATTTTTTTTTTTAAAACCTTCTTGTGTTCTGATGAGCAGTGGAGACCGTCCTCTGGGTTGTTCTCAGGCCACTCGAGCGGTCATGCGATCGATGCGAGTTGTCCTGCTCTTCTGTTGTGATTTGATTTCTTACCTCATTCTAGCAATAGACATCACCCTCTGCCCGCCCTCTCACTGCTTGAGCGATCACTCGTGAATGTTGGTTTACTTAGTCCCCAATACTAATCCCATTTCAAACCTATAAATTGAGGAAAGTCTTTTTATGCTAAGGTAAGCCTCATGAGAGAAAATTTTGTATATCTAACACCTTGAGATCTTGAAGAAGAACCCTAGATCCTTAAGATCCAAAGGCAAAATCCACCATGATAATCTAATCCAACTTCACACCTTGGAGAAGAAAATCTAGATTGGGAGATCAATCAAACCCAACGGAGAGAGTGCATATTGGAAATCTTGGGTGCGTCCTAGGATTGTTCAAGGCCTAAACAAACTGTGAGGTAGGGAGTTCAAGTAAAACTATTCATACATCAATGGGTGTATCCAATAGAGAGGTGGGTGTATCCGGTAGAGAAGTTTATTGAAGGAAAAGAGCGTCTAACTATGGTATTAATTGAGGTATAAGAATCGAGTACTTGTAAACTAACTTTGTGACAGTGAATTAGGCTTTGGTGAACCACGATGAGAGTTTCCGCGTCAACAAATTACTTATGTTCTATATTATTTTTATTGTACACACTAACAATTTGATGCACACACCGGAACTATGTGTTTGATGTATTAATTGATTGAGCATTCATATCATACATAGTAGTTTGTTGGTTGATTATTGTCTTGGGTTGGATCACCATGTGAGATTGTGTTACGCTTAAAATCGACAAAACAATAACATCAATCTACATGGTTCATAGGATTGTTCTTGTGTAAAAAAGTTCTCAACTTTAATTGTTTCATTAAATTGAGAAGATGTAATTGTGGTAGAATTTAAGTTAAAGATTGGTGTACATTTGAGAGTAAAATTGAATTAACCTATTCACCCCCCCTTCTAAGTAGTGTCTTAATCTCATGTGTTTCATCATGAAAAACGATCCATTTTGCTTAATAGTAGCATTTATCCTTACAAAAAACATACAATGTAAAAGAGTAGGCAAAAATAGTATATCACGTGCACAAATAGGTAAAGTAAAGAAGCATGTATGTGGCAACTACAAATGGTGACCTCTTGTACAAAATAACCATGCATTTGTCCTAGACAACCAATTTGTTCTCAGTCTTCAGCTTCTAAAGACTATGAGGTTTCCAACAGATGACTTCTCAGAGGGAAATTAAAACTTTTGACCCCTTGCAACTAGGGAAGGATCCACTCAGGCTTTTGCCCCCACTCAATTTCTTTTTCCACAAAAAAAGTCATTAATTTAATTTAATCAATTCTCACATTTGGATTAAATTTCTTTACACTCAATTCAGTGAACTTAAATAATGTTTAGTAGTTCAATCGCTTAATATGTGTTTAAGAAATCATTCAGAAACTTTTTGTTCTTTCTCCCTATATCTTGTCCCCTCTCATTCACTGTTGTGAACTTGAAAATATTGAATATTAATATTACCGTGCAATATTTTTATAATATGAAAATTAGTGCATCAATGATTCAAGTTACGGAAATATCTTCTCATGTGCAGGGTAAGACAACTTATATCTGAACTTCTCCCGAACTTGCAGTAGGAGTCCGTTGGATCACCTCTTTTTATTTATTATTAGTTCAAACCTTCTAATATATAACAATACTATTGTGATTCAATTTAGAGACCTAATTTGAAGATATAATTGGTTGCTATTATTGAAGAATTCGCAGTAGGTCTCAACATCCAATGCAGTTTCTTTGTTAATTCAACTGTAGCAATACATTAAATCTCCAAATTAGATGTTTGGATTAAGTACATGTAATATTTTTGTTGCTAAAAATTTTCCCCACTACCGCAAATTTTTGGCTCCACCCTATTTGCAACTGTACTCTAAAACTCCAACAGGACCCCTCATCATTATCAACGAGATTATCAAGAACTATTCACCAAGATGATGAACTCTTCTCTAACATGACCAAAAAATCTCTTATTGGGAATTCTGAATAAGACCATTCAAGTATGGATAGTCCACTGATCAAAATGATCCCCTTTAAAGCAGAGTAAATGTCAAGACAAGTACACACTTAAAACAAGATAATACCAGAAGTTGCTCCAGAAAGCAGAAGTATGCAAGCATGCTGACCATGACAAGAACGGGTACATCCTGCCAGACTCTATAAAAGAAAAAAGTGAACACCCTTGTGAATTCAACTAATCAATTTATTCAAACAACTTAATATAAAGATAAATAATGACAAAGGATTCATAGGAAAATCTTAACTGCCACAGTGCCACCTGATTGAACAAACCACACAAAATTTTAATCTCCGAGAAGCCAAGAATTAATGATTCTGCATATTCATGCTACTATCATGGGTGAACTTGTTAATAAATATACCATGTAAATTATTTATTAATTGTACACACAAGTCATCTTAGCAGCACTGATATAGGTAGCCATTCAAGTGATGCCATTAACCAACCTCAGTCAAAGATATGGAGCAACATTAGGTATGGAGCGACGTTACTTGGATCGTAGATGAGAATAGCCTTTGCTGCTACACTATTTTAGGTTGCAATTTGCGGAACTCGTATCTCAGTCAATTTCATTATTATAAAAAAATTAATATTGTTTTTATGTTTGTGATAAAGTCTAAAGCAACCCGAGACCGAAAACAATGTGCCAACTAGTAATTGTGATTAATAAAGTATTGATTCGCAATATGATAACAAATAAAATATAATTTTGAATACCAGCAAAATAAGAAATTAAAGTTTTAAAGAGTAATTAAGTAGATTCATATAACCAAGAGGAATGGTAGACGGTTTTGTATGAACAATGTTCAACTAATAGGGTTATGTACACTGGTATACGTGCACAAGGCTGCTGCTTGTTTGCCTTATTAATATTATCTAAGGAGGAATTGACTTTGTTGCCCCAAATTTATTGATCTTTTTAACTGTGTGTCCATACAAATGCTTTCTTCGGTTAATAACTGCTAGGTCACTCGCCTTTGGAACATCACGATTGAAAATCAAGAACCTTATCTTTTAAGACAAAATCATAACTCTTCTCCAAGACAGAAAAAAATGACCTTACCTTGAAATCATAACGTTTTACCATCTTGGATCATTGATTCGGGAGCTAATGCCTACATGTCTAATATTTTCTCATTGTTTTCTATTTTTCATTCTTCTAACTCTCGTATTGTTTTTAGTTGATGTTTCTTTTAGATCAATACGTGAGACTAGTGATCTCCATCCTACCGAATTCAAATCATTAACATCTGATTTATTTGTACCTTAATTTCCCTTTAATCTATTTCTGTAAGTTAGTTAACCAATTCCTTATAATGTTTAGTGACTTTTTCTCCATATTCTTATATTTTTCAAGACCTCCAGATGAAGAAGGTGATTGATTGAAACATGAGTATAATGGATTTTACTATTTGGATTCCCAAGCAGCAGTTCCTGCCTTGAGTGCTACCGTATCTCCTTTCCGGTGGCACTTTCGATTGGGTCATCATTCATTGCAAAAGTTTTGTCATTCCTAATTTGAGTCCTTCTGTTCTGTTAGAATGTGAGGCTTGTCAATTAAGCAAGTATCACTGTAATTATTTTCCAACTAGTAGTACCAGTTGTTCGTCTGGTCTTTTTGCTATTATTCACTTTGACATTTAGAGTCCTTCAAGAATAAAAAGTACTTTTGAATTTTATTATTTTGTAATTTTTGTTGATGATCATTCTCGTATGACTTGATTATTTCTTATGAAAGATCGTATTGAACTGCATAAAATTTTTTTACCTTTTATAATGAAATTCTTGTATAATTTGGTAAGCGCATTAAGATATTTCATTCTGATAATGCCTTTAAGCATCTACAATTTTTTATGCATACATTTTGCGTTGATCATGATATCATTCATTAGACTATATGTTCACATACATCCCAACAAAATGGTACTGCAAAACGCAAACGTTGTGTTGCTCATACCCTCATGTTTAACATGCATGTCCCCAAGCCTTATTAGGCAGCACTGTTCTTAATGCAATCTATCTTATTAATCGAATTCCTTATCTCATCTTAAGTAACAAATCTCCCTTCTCCTTATTTTAACCCGGGACATCGCTCTTTGTTCTCATTTCTCATGTCTTTAGTTGTGTTACATTTATTCACCTTCTTGGTTCGAATCGAAATAAACTTTCATCTCATTCAGTTAAGTGTGTCTTTCAAAGATACTCTTGTACTCATAAAAGTTATCATTGTTATGACCCTGTCTCTCGCCAATATTATGTCAATGTCGATGTCACCTTTTTTGAGTTATCATCTTTTATTTCTAATTCAAGAACTACTTTGTCTCCATATTTAATCTTTACTAATCAAGGGGAACTAATATTTACTCTTGTACTAGATGGTGAATCTTCTCCCCCACCGACTTCTAACCCTCTATTGCTTCTATGAATAGACAAGGTTATTTCATATGCTCCAGCTCCAGCTACTTGATCAATCCTTGATTCTACTAAGGTCCCTCCTCCTAGGCCGTCTGATTTGTCTATTTTATTGCGAAAACGAACCCGTACTTGTACCCAACATCCCATTTTTAATTTATCTCTTTACATCGACTTTCCTCTTAATTTCATTGTTTTGCATCCTCCTTGTCTTTTATCTTTGTTCCTAACTTTTTGAACTAGGCATTAATATCTCTTGAATAGAAACTGAGAATGGATTAGGAAATTAAGGCACTTTATGAAAATCATACTTTAGATCTTACTTCTTTTCCATCTGGTAAGTAGCCTGTTAGTTGTCGATTGGTTTATACTGCGAAATATCATCCTCATGGTTCCATTGAGCAGTTGAAGGCATGATTGATTGCTAAAGGTTAAACCAAACATTTGGCGTGACTGTTAGACTTTCGCCTTTGTTGCTCATCTTAACTCTGTTAGAGTTTTATTTCTATCGCAATCAGTTTTGACCGACCCCGGTATCAACTAGAGATAAAGAATGCATTCTTACACAAAGATCTACAGTAGGCATATATATATGATTCAACCACCATGTTATATTGTTTTAAGCTAGGAACAATTAATGTGTAATTTGAAGAAGGCATTATATGACTTGAAAGTCACCACATGGTTGGTTTGATAAGTTCAGTACCGTCGTACTTTAGTTTGGTTTTCAGCGCTCTACCTCATATCATTCAGTCTTCATTTGTCAGTGTTCTGCAGGCATTATTGTTGTTATTGTGTATGTCGTCGACATCATCATCAGTGGGAATAACTCAAATAGTATTGCTCACTTCAAGACCTATTTAGGAAAACAGTTTTATATCAAATATTTAGGTCTTCTTCGGTACTTCCTAAAGATTAAGGTTGTTCGATCAAAGATGGATAACAGTTTATGCCAACAGAAATATGTACTAGACTTATTATTTGAAACTGGTACTTCTGGTGTGCGCCCGGTTGATACACCTATGGAACCTACAGTTAAGCTAGATCCTGAGAATGGTGAAGTCTTTGATGATATATGAAGAAATTGGCAGTTGGTTAGTAAACTGATTGATCTTATAATTACATGTCCTGACATTACATATGATGTTGATGTGGTTAGTCAATTCATGCATGTCCCTAATAAGTCTCATTAGAAAATTGTATGTCGTATACTTTGGTATCTGAAAAAGGCTCCAGAAAAGAGATTATTACATCATTCATCATCATTCATAATTGTTGTTAGTTTTTCTAGTGATGATTAGACAAGTAGTCATGGTGATAGATGATCTACTTCTGACCATTGATGGTAATCTTGTTATGCAGGTAGTCATGGTGATAGATGATCTACTTTATTGATGGTAATTTTGTTACTTGGTAAAGTGAGAAGCATAACAGAGTTGGGCGTTCTAGTACGAAGGCTAATTGTTGTCCCATGGCACATACTACTTATGAGATGCTTTGGATTCGTTCTTTAATTTGTGATATGGGACTTGAAGTGTCTTCCCCTATGAAAATGCATTGTGACAATCAAACATTTATTTTCATCACTAGTAATCCGAAATTTTATGAGCTTACCAATCACATTGAGGTGGCTTGTCATTTTATTCGAGATTTCTTAATGCGAAACGAGATCATTACTCCTTATATCAAGTCTGGTGATCAATTGTGTGACATTCTTACCAAGTCATTAGCTCAATCTGCTTTCAATAGTTTATGTTCTAGGTTGGGCATTTTTTATCTTCATGATCCAATTTGAGAGGAAGTGTTAGAGTTCTTATTTTCTATATTAGTAATAAATTAATTAGTATAAGGTAATATTATAATTATTCTATTATTACGCAGTTATAAATAAGAGAGTGTGATGCAACCTAACCTACACAACAGATTACTATTTTCTTTGCCTCTTCTCTTCCTCTCTCCTTCTAACCATAATTCTACTTTTAACTATTTCAACTCTTTTGACTACTACAACCATTTAAAAGTAAAAACTACATATAGCCCAATATCATCACTAGTCCCAAGATAAGACCCATGGACCCTCACTGTCCCCGGTGTCCAGTGAATTTGGAAATTAGACAAAATATATGAAGTTAATTCTGACTATAAAAGTTACTAACAGCGAACTAGCAATTTAAATTAGAGAGAATTATACTCAGACCTCCTGAAATTTGTCACTTAATCACTCAGACCCCCTGACATTTGAAATATTACACACTGGCCGTAATACTTAGACCCCTATTATCAATGTCTGTTAGTATATTCGTTAGTAAATTACATTTAAACCCCCTAAAGTTTGTAGGTGTGTAATACTTACACCTCTAAAGTTTAAAATGTTATACTTAGATAAAAAATATTTCAATTAAAGATAAAATAATAAATATTTTAAATTTTACAACCAAAATTTATGTTCTATTATAACATTTATTAAAATAAAATTAAAAATAAAAATATTTTTTTTTCTTAAAAAATTATAATTACTATATAATTATATTATCTATTGGAATTTAATTTCTTTTAAACAACTAAATTAAACTATCAGATTACCCTAGTTAAAGTTAGAATATATTGTTTCCATTACAGTTTGACCCCTTGTTTGATTTTTTAGTTTTATTCCAATAAATAGTATAATTGTACACTAAATACAATTTTTTAAGAAAAAATTAATTTTTTATTTTTTATTTTATTTCGATAAATGACATAATAGAATATGAATTTTGGTTGTAAAATTGAACATATTTAATATTCTATCTTTAATTGAATTATTTTTTGTCTAAGTATAACATTTTAAACTTTTGAGAGATTTAAGTTTTATAAACCTACAAACTTCAGAGATCTAAGTGTAATTTACTAACAGATATATTAACTGACATTTGAAAGCGGGGTTTAACCGTCTAAGTGTTACACGCGTACAAACCTCAAAGGGTCTGTGTGTAATATTTTAAATGTCAGAGGGTCTGAGTGATTAAGTGACAAATCTCAAGGGATCTAGGTATAATTCTCCCTTTAAATTATTAACCAAGTCTTAAGCAGGGTTCTTATGAAATGCTCTTTTTTCTTGTTTTCACTTATTAGCATGCACTGGATAAGCAATTCAAATTGGACACATTCTCATTTTTTTTGGTTGTCCTATTCTAAGATATAAATTCTCCCTTGCCTTTCACGCATAAAAATAATATGGTAGATTTTATAATAGATGGCATGGAAATAATATGAACATGCCTGTACTGAGTCACTTCTCTCTGCTGTGGCATGTTCACTGGCCGTCTTATATTAGTCTGAGGATTATGTATTTTCAACAGTGTCACTGGAAGGTTTCGAACATCCTGCTTGCAGATATCACAGGTTCTGTTTCCTTTAATGCTAAACCACTTGACAGCACAGTCTCGGTGAGCAAGTGCAAGCTCTCCTTTGCAGCTGCACTCCATCTTAAGAGTTTCACCTCCTTCTCCTAGCTCAACAAAGCAAATTCTGCAAACTGCCTCTTCTTCAGGAATATCTTCACCAGCATCTTCACTAGCTGAAGAACAAGAGATACAATAAGCAACTAACAATATGAGCTATCCATAATATCAAATTAAAAAACGAAAAAAAAAAATTTTTGGTGGAGGGAAAGGGCTTATCATTCCAATTTATACCAGAAAGTGTCAAATGCAATCCATAACACACAGATAAGGCAATAAAACAAGCAGTTTCGCACTTGGTGGTGGTATTAATGCTAACAATTCAGTGAGCTCAACACAGCTACCTAGCTCTCTTCAACAATTGAAACTTTGGGGAACCATAACAAGTGAGAATCAAACTTTAGAAGTAGTAGCTTCAGAGAAAAAAGGAGAGTCCTTCAATAAAAGAGGCAGAGCATGTTAAGTTACTTTTACTAATTTGTGGAAATTAGCAAGAAGACACCGGTGAATGTATCAGCCCCTTCTGATTACTATAAAGCATATGCATCAGCAACCCACTCTCAATTTCACAAACTGCTGACGCATTTAGTAGGAAGTTATTCCACCAGGACAGCTGTGTTCAGCTAAAAAGAACATTATAGTGAAAGAAAAAAAAAAGGTGAGAAAGAAAGGATAAGTACTAGCAAATGATGCCAGGGAATCTCCGGATTCCAAGTAATGGACTCACACTATCAACACAGTAATGCAAACTATATGAAGCTGAGAGTAGTACTAATCACCTTCACAATTGAAATTTAGGCAAAGATCCAATGAAGGTCACTAAAATTGGAGCCTTTCTGCACTGGAAGATTTTTATCTTAAATTTAATGATGCACCTCACAAGATTTATATAGTGGAGCTCTGGTTTGAAATTCAAGGATTTTGATTATACATGTTAAGCTAAATGTAGAGTGTAGGGCTGATGCTTTTGCAACAATTTGTAGTCTAATATGGTATCCCAAAGGCAACCAACCTCCATATTTGCTGCTAAAATTTCGATGTGGAAGAGATTTTTGCTAAGATGAATACAACTGCTATGTATTTCCCCTCGCAATTTCATAGGGAATGTACTCCATAATATTCAATCTTTAAACAATGCTTGAAAGGTTTAGGTTCCATGATACCTTTGGTTTCGTCATTCCATTAGTGTGTTAGTGATGTGCACTATCTGTGTGCTAATGTGTGTGTCACTGAAAGGGTAAAACAGGTCACATAGCGTTGAGAGGTAATTCTACACTGTATGGCCCCAAAAGCCAAAGCTTTTCCAGTAATTGTAATCTAACAATAAACATAGAAAAACAGGGCAGTCAACAGTACAACGAAATATTTATTGAGGGAGGAAAGAATGATGAATTGAGAGGAAAGAAGGTGAAAAATGAAATTGAGTGAGAAAGAGATATCGGGTATTCATCATGAATCACACAAGGGCTTAATTAAAAACTTTCTATTAGGGATGAGTAATGGAAATGGGGCTTAATCAAAAACTTTTTATTAGGGATTAGTAATGGAAATGGATGACAATTTTTTTTTTCATTTATTTATTCATTTTAATCCACAGAAGAGGTTGTTGGCTTTTTTTGTGGGGGATTCCGCAACATAAATGACTCCTTTTGGAACCAAAACCATACCAATTTCTGTTTCTATTGCTTTGTCTGGCAAGGCACTGTCAACCACGGTAGGCCGAGGGCTTGCTGTTATTACACGGATCAAACCTCCTGTAGAGTCCATCCGCCTCAAACTTCTGATTTTGACATTTACAGGAACTGAAAACGATCGAGTCATATGCCTCTGAACTTCCGGTTTCAGCTAAAAAAAAAATAACTTAACTTCAGAGTCAAAAAATACAGCGAGATGTGAAGAGAGAGCATAACAATAGGGAAAGATTAAAGAAAAGTAACTTACAGAGAATTCACACTGGCCATCCAGATTCTTTTCCTGAGCACGCTCAGGAACTAAATTTGCAATTGGTGTCACTGGCAAAGAATGAGCAGATTTTGTTGACGAAGAGGACAAAACCTTGTTGGGAGAAAATGATCTCGGAGGAGAATGTTTATCTGAAGGAAGTGTGTCTGGGATGATGAGAACAGTCTTCTCACCATCTTGGGATTCATTTTTTCCCCTGAAGCTCTTCTGAGAAAGAAGATTTTTCATGGACGACCTGAATTTGGCTGAACTTGGTCTAGGGGGCAATCCTGCTCTGGTAGAACTAGGACTCGGAACATCTAACCTTGTAAAAGTGGACAATATGTTTTCTACAGATCTCTCGGGTATTTGGAGAGAAGAAAGGTTTGGCTGTCTTGACTGCTGCACTATTAAGGTGGATTCTTCTCTCTCTTCTGTCTGATTGCATGGCTGCATGGCCATCAAAATTCAAAACACATCCTGATTCAAACTGAGAAGCACACGCGCACGAACAAACACACATATGTAATGCAAGTCTAACAAGAGGTCATGCATGAACAGGCAAATAAAAAAATTGAGAGAACAAGCTTTGGCTAGAGAAGTATGTCATAACATGCTCAACATGTGCTGATGTGCATGAAAAACATTGCAAATAACCCATACTCTCAGAAACTGATTTGTCATTTTAACTGAAAACAGAAGAAATGGCGACAAACTAATCACTCGTAAATCAAATAGATTACATAACAATGAGGCCCCAGCATCACAAGAACTCTTTATTTCATTAGAAAGGCGGCTTCGCAAAGTAGAGCTCTATTATACTTGCAATGCAAATAGCCCTGTTTGATAAATCAAGGGGAAAATATAAATGTTGCCAACAATGGAAGGAAAGTTCTATAGAACAGCCAAAAGACCTGATATACATTATGGCACTGATTGTTGCGCAAGAAAGAAATAGTACATTAAAAAATTGAGTGTGCCAGTAAGGAGAACGTTAAGATGGATGAGAGTAATGTAAAACTAGAAATGATAGAATTAAGAATGAGAATATCAATGAAAAAGTAGAGGTAACACATAGGGGAGATAAATTAAAAGAGAATCAAATTAGGTGATTTTGGATATATTTATAGATGATCTATTATGGCACCGATGATAAAAAAAGATATGATAACTATTGATGCTAAACGAGGGTAAAGGAAGACCGAAATTAACTTTCAATGAAGTAATAAAAAAAGATATAATAACCTATAGTTTAACAAAAAGTATGACCCTTAATAGAGCACAATGACGAAGTAGGATTCATGTAGTTGATCCAAAAATGTTAGGATAAAGCTTGTTGAGTTGAGTGTACATGTTGAGGTCCACCATATTGATAAGTATGTATGGTTGTGAGGGATTACATGAAAGAGCTACAATCACGGGTGGTAACAAGTTGGAGTAGTAACTACAATATGGAATGACAAACTAGGAGTGGTGGTTACAAAATGAAACTAATGAATACACACAAAGAGCAATGGTAGTAAAGAAGCTAAAGTCAAACTATGGAAAGAAGGGAAGACAAAAATAAAAGAGGACATTTCTGCTACTCTCTAGTATTCTATAAACAAAAAAATAAGAATGTATGATCATTTATACAACATAGAACATAAAACCCTATAATACAAGCTCATGAAATAGACAAAATAAATATGATCTTAGCAGTCATCACAAACTCATGATGACGGTAGAATCTCAAAGTCATGATGAAAGCATATAGAGTTAGCTATAAGAAAACTAAAACATATTGTGAAAGGAAATTTCATGAAGAAGTTAGTCAATTACATAGCAAAAGAAAAAAATTGCAATCAAGTAGTCTCAAGCTGAAGATGGTGGTGCACAAAAATAACAGATAATCTCAATAATGCTAGTCAAATCTTAATGATGCGAATCAAATCATTGAAAACATACTTTTGCCCAACTTGAATCACACTCTTGTTGTCATCATACATAATAATAGGAGCATAAAAGAAATCATAACTCGACAAGTAATCATCTCAACCAAACTATTTCAGATGGAGTGATACATAACTCAACGAACCAGGTTTGAGCAGCCTATTTGAGACATTACAAATCTTTTCTTTGTCTATATACCCCCGAAGCATGAGAGAGCAAGGAGAAGAACCCATAAGAGTTTCTCCATCAAATCACCATTCAAAAAAGCATTTTTGAGTAGATGCAGATGTTGAGATTGACCTTGAAATTGATCAATGTGGGCGTTAAGCCCGATGCTTGCAAACTAGAGGTAGTCATTTGATTTACTTTGTCTTATCTTTTGAACTATGTTACAAACTTCTATAGTTGTAACTAATTTGCGTTGAAAATTGTGAATTATTATCATATTTCAGATTTGGGTAGCAAACATCGGTTAGCCGTGGATCACTACTTTGGGTTTTGGTTGGGTGATTTAAGTTTTTGGTTCGGACGGTTGGAGTACTGGAATTGTGCTAGATGGAAATGCAGTTAGATTTAAACATATAATACTCCCATGTTTAAACAATACTCCACCAGATTTTTGATAAATGAGTTTTATTAAATCAAAAAAAATATTTTTTTCAAAAAATTCAATTTTCAACAGGTCAGATTTTCTGGTTTAAATATTAAATAATGTCTTTTATAAAATTCGGGCCGTGAAAGTGCATAACTATGAAATTGAATTTACTGGGTCATCGTTGGACGACTTCTGATTATTCAATGATAATTCTCCATTCTCTACCCTCTTGCTTTAAATTTTTGGGCACTTAAAAAGTCATTATCCTTGCCAACATTAGAGAAAACTATGGTTTCTTCCTTCAAAGGCTGCAAAGTTAGCTCTGATATACTGGATCAAGTGTTTACCATATAATCACGGCCTCCCTAATAAAATGTGAAATTCATCCATGAAAACCACATTGCACCAAGCCCTTTACGATGCATCCGTCAACACCCACTTTTAAATATCCCCACTGCAAATCATACTCCTCTTATGATGCAAGTTGTCGTTAAACCCCAACCCACCACCACAAAAAGAAAAAAAGAACCCATCTGTATCTTGGCAAAGCAATTCCCACACTTCAAACCCTCTCTACAGTCTACAAATATATATCTAAAATGAAATTCATACAAGAGTCTAATCAAACACGACTTTTAATCAGACAAATATTTAAAAGTCACAATACGATTCTTAACAATTCCATACACATATTCACACAGGCAGAGAGAGAGAGAGAGAAGGAAAGGATCACCTGATGATTTTCTTCAGCTTGTTGATGTGTTTGTTCAACTACACCACCACCACCACCACCCTCCATCTTGCTTACCCAACAACCCCACGGCCACTATTACAGGAGCTTCAGTAATTAAAAGAACAAAAAGTTATTAATAAAACCATGACCTTCAACAGTACACACAAATTCTGAAATATGTTTAGAAGTAATGGCTATGGACAGTGGAGTGTCTGAGAGAGGAAGGTAAGTACAGAGAGAGAGAGAGGAAAACTTTATACAAACGCAACATTCGGCTTTTGGCGATAATAACGACGGAAAGAAAGAAAAATGTGTTTGCTTGGTTTGTTTAAGGTTAAATTATATTTTATGCCCTTAAAATTTAGACTTGATTTCTATTTAGTCTATCTATATACAAAATAGAACAATCTTCAATAAATTTATCTTACGATCTTAAATAGATTCATCTAACGGTCACCGTCATTTTTCTTAAATTTCACCGTACCTGAAAGCATGGGTTACCCCTAGTAAACTATAAAATGCAGCAATCCAATTTTCTAAATTTGAAATCATGTTTTAATTTAGTCCTTCTATCCAAAAACAACAATAATTTTAAAAGAAAAGCTTCGTGTGTGTCTTGATTAGAAGGTTAATTTTTGATTAAATTATACTTTAATATTTAAACTATTTTCTTTGTTTTATTTTACATCTCATTTATGAAATTTTTTAAAGTGCACCCCTACAATATTAATTTTATTTCGTATTACTCAAATAGATAATAACTATCAATTTTTTGAAGGATTAAAAGAGTAAACTTGAAAACTTGTCAAATGAGAGAAGAAATCTCAAAGAGTTTCTTGTCAAGTGCCTAGTACCACTTTATGTCACTTATTTTGCAACAAAATACTTGCGACGAAGAAAAAAAAGTTGGTTAGAGAAAGAAAATTTAGAACTTATGAAGGGCAAAATCATAGATGAATATTTTTCTTGATTTTTAAACTACACATGTGTAATAAATAGTTTGTTCATTGGTCGTACAAACTACTAACATGCACATTTACTGTCAAAAAATTGATAATCGTTACTTATTAGAGTGATATTAAATAAAATTAATACTTTAGGATATAATGAGAAATTTTATAATTAGGGGTATAAAATAAAATAAAGGTAATAGTTCAAAGATTAAAAGTGTAATTTACCATTAATTTTCACCAAGTCAGGCCTAATATTTTTGTTTGAGCTCTTTAATTGCATGTGTTGGCTCATTTTTTAAAGGATTATTCACTTTGCCCCAATATGATCCCCACAACTAAGACCGTCCGGTCCTCCATGTATTATGGGTCATGGATTCAATTTCGAATTCGGGTTGAATTTTGATTGGCCACTTAACCCGCCAAAAAAATGAAAAATAAATAATTGAATTTGATGAGAATTGCCTAAATTCGAGGTTGATAGGATTTGGATGTTCATCGGTGTATTGCGTTTCCACCTTTTTCTCTCGTGTATTATGAGTCTTTGTCGTTGTTTTGTTTGATTAGTTAGTGCTTTCATTAAATAATTATTTTCAGAGCTGTTGATTTTGTCTATACTCACACCACAAAGCCACCGTCTGGCTATTCCTAATGTCCATTAGGGTCCATTTGGCATACTTTCATCTCTTGGGGATTATTAAAATTGTGTGTGTACAGCTAGTACTATGATATGTTCCAAATACAATATTTGGGTTAATTGTAAAAAACTCTTTGTACTTAGGGTTAATCTCATTTTATACCCTAAAAAGATATTCTAATTCACAATTTGTATCTTTAAAGAATTAAAATTTTAAATTGCACCCTCAATATTATAAAAAAGGTGCAATGTAGTGAAATTTAATGGTGAAATTTAAGATTGAGGGTGCAATTTGAGCTTGAAATAGGGCCACATTGTACCTATTTTATAACATTAAGGGTGTAATTTAGAAATCCAATTTTTTAAGAGTATAAATTAAGAATTAATGCATCTTTCTGGGTGCAGTAAAATTAGCCCTTTGTACTTGAGGGTAGAAACAGGTTACCCCTCAACTTTAAACTTTTGTACTAAGTCTCCTTAAACTCATGACTACGGTACAAAACTAACAGTTTTTGTCAAAATTAACAATGCGTGTAAAACACCCAAAACAATGTTATAATTCCTAAAATACCCTCATCTCTCTCTCTCCCCCCTTAAACATATAGGGTGTGTTTGACAATTCATGGATGCACTAGACTGGCTTGGATTTAAATCCTAAATCAGTCTAGTGAAATTCCACTGGGTCAGATTTGTAGAGGGATAAATAAGAAAATTGTATTATTCAATCCCTACTTTGGATAGTGCATTATGATGGAGTTGAGATATGAACAAACTATAATTTTGTATTAAACATCTAATATCTTTGACATTAATTGACCATTTTACCCTTAAATCCTATCCAATCCTCTCTCCATTTTGGCTTGAGAATTGTTGGTTACCCTTTTTTTTTTTTTTTCANTGTAAAACACCCAAAACAATGTTATAATTCCTAAAATACCCTCATCTCTCTCTCTCTCCCCTTAAACATATAGGGTGTGTTTGACAATTCATGGATGCACTGGACTGGCTTGGATTTAAATCCTAAATCAGTCTAGTGAAATTCCACTGGGCCAGATTTGTAGAGGGATAAATAAGAAAATTGTATTATTCAATCCCTACTTTGGATAGTACATTATGATGGAGTTGAGATATGAACAAACTATATTTTTTTATTAAACATCTAATACCTTTGACATTAATTGATCATTTTACCCTTAAATCCTATCCAATCCTCTCTCCATTTTGGCTTGAGAATTGTTGGTTACCCTTTTTTTTTTTTTTCACTTTTTGATCATTATCAATTAATATTATGACAAAAATAAGAATGTTAATGTATTCACCTGTTTTTCAGTGTCTAGTCTAAATATAGCCACATAATCAAAGCCTGAAAAAGCACAAGCAAATGGAATTATGCCAAAAGTATATCCATATCCCTTTTTCTTATACAAACTTATCTCTCTGCTCACTGTGCTCCACAAAATCAAGATTCCACTGTGTGACCCTATGCATCGCAACATAAACTCCAGTTGCAAAGGCTCTAAGAAGGTTCAGAGTTGCNAATGTATTCACCTGTTTTTCAGTGTCTAGTCTAAATATAGCCACATAATCAAAGCCCGAAAAAGCACAAGCAAATGGAATTATGCCAAAAGTATATCCATTTCCCTTTTTCTTATACAAACTTATCTCCCTGCTCATTGTGCTCCACAAAATCAAGATTCCACTGTGTGACCCTATGCATCGCAACATAAACTCCAATTGCAAAGGCTCTAAGAAGGTTCAGAGTTGCCCGCAGCTTCGCAATAAGCCCTTATCATCCTTTGAGGGTCCGGAATTCTCAATTTCTCATTAAAAGCATCACCATTGATATTGTCTCCCTTGTAACTTGACAGCTTCACTCCATTTTTCTCCTCCAATGGATCTGATCTCGACTTGGCAAATTGACCCGCCATTCTTCCCACCTAAATTAATCAAGCCCACAATTCAAAAGCATAATTCTCAAGCTCCCAATTTTCATATAACCAATAATACTCTTGAAAACCCTTGTGATGGACCAAAATTAATTATGCAAAATTTTTATTTACTTTTGATCTCAATCCATAATGCCAACAAAAAGAAATGTATAGAAAAACTATAAATCTAAGAACCCATTAATTCAACATCAATGAAACTGGCCAACATTTTTGGAAACCCATGAAAATCAATCAATACCCACAACTTAAATTCATTCCATCTGGATATATCTTCACATAATAAAGGAAAAAAATTATATAGAGATCCATATAAAGGTGTAAGATTCATTACCTTAATAATAGGCATTTGTCCACCAACACATGAGAACAACGCTCATCTGAAGAATAATTTTGAAAGTGTCACGAATATTATTAACACTGAACTCCTTGAAACTCTCAGCACAAACCCCTCCTTGCAACAGAAAAGCATTTCCCAATGCCGCATCGGCAAGCTTTTCCTCCAAACTCCTCACCTCATCGGTGAAAACGATTGGAGGGAAGGCCTCAATGGTCTTAAGCACAGATTCAAGCTCAACTTCATTTGGGTACTCAAAAAGTTGCAAAGCCTTATTGGATTTCCAGCTGTCAACTGCCCATTTTCCCAGATGGCGCCGCAGTGGGCGGTAGTGCAGATGATTTGGGAGTCTTTTCGGTGATAACTAGGGTTTTGGCAGGCTCCGTCAAGTGGACGACGAAGATGGGTTGGTGGGATCTAGTACCGGAGGAGAGAGAGAAAACAAGTTGGTGGGTCTAGGTGCAAGGGAAAGGAGAATGGGATTGGAAGAGTGATTTGGAAGACAGTTGAGGTGTAGACGACGGAGAGGAAAGAGAGAGAGGCGGTGGTGGTCTATGGAGGAAGAGGAAATAAACAAACATTCGTGCTTTACTGTTTAAAGGGTAATAACATAATTTCATATTTTATCCATCCACTGGGCTTAGAAATCCCAAAGTCCAGTCGGGTTTCATTTATCCGGATCAAATGGGATTTGAGGCCTAATTGACTACGGGCTGAGTAATTCAACCCAATGAAAATCTAATCCCATTTGAACGATCCAAAGCTGGGATATGTGGACCTCCGGATATTTTTATCCAATCCAACAAGGCCTATCCGCCTATATCCCTCCAAACAATCACACCCATGAAGGAAAAGTAAAACTAACAAGGTGGAGATGGCAGCCAAATGAAATACATATGCGACTATGCATGGTTAGGTACAAAGCTTTTAAAATCTGGGGATAGTTGTTTGAGATTCAAGAGTAAGATGTCATCATGACCTTGATATAGTTTTTTGGTCAAATAAGAACTGGGAAGTACAATCAGCCACCAAGTCATTACCAGAATCTAAAAGCAACTTGAAATTGAACATCAATCACTACCAATGACCAAATCAACAAAAGAATATGTGTACATGCAGTTATACAATCCAAGACTGGAAGGCCAATATTAGAAGAAGAAGAAAAAAAATCAAACATTAAAAATGAAAATTAGACAATTTATTATAACAGTTAATGCACAGTTCACATTCTTGTTTGTTGTAAATGTCTGATTAGCACCGAAATAGAAGAAATTTACATGCAAGCAATGGTGAACAAAATAACAGAAGATTTCGAAATTTTTCCCACTGAATTTTCAAGTGCCTCCATTGCAGTGGTGGCCACCATTGATGTGAGCCATCTTGCCTTTCATATGTACCTTATTTAGGCCCCATATGCGAATCGTACGATCATCACTGGCTGAAGCTAACATATGGTGATTTACTGGATTCCAGCAAACACTGTTGACAGATCCAGTATGCCCCGGCAATGACCCTACAAGCTTTCCTGAGCCTCTGTGCCATATATAAACCTGCAAATATGGTGAAAAATTATCAAACCACTTTCCATAATACAATTCTGTTGCAAGACGCTGAAGAAGATGGACACATTTACAAATTAGATTCTCAAGCATCTACTATACAACCAGATTGACCATTCCCATCAAAGATCCAACAGAAAAATCAGATACCCACCTTTTTATTTGTTTGAAAAGAGATGTGATATGTGTTTTATCAGGTTGATACTGAATGTTAATAAGCCAATCACTTGTTTTGCATTCAAAACACATTTTCCAAAGGACCATAAACTGTAACATCACCTTAAAACACATATCCTTCAACACTTCAACTAATATTGATGCTGCAAAGGAAGACAAAATTTGGGCACGGTGGTCCCAAGTACTTTCTGAAATCTATATCACACATGTTTAGACATGATGTTTGGACAGAATTTCAAGTTGCATGAGTGGAATAATAGCTTCGTCGTTCATTCCCCAATGTGGCGCAATGTGGAACTTCCCATCCAACTAGAACTTCACAGCTCGGAAGTTCAGATGATGTAATTATCTATTTAGAAGGTGAAATTCAAAGGCAGCATAAGAGTGCAAATTCTAAAAAGTCACATAAAATTTCCTAAATTTGGTGTCAGCTAGGACCACAAAGAATCAAATATAAAAGGTAAAGAAAACAACATGTATAAAAGCAACACAATATATCTAGGAATAGGATACAATAGAGAGCGTTTGGTACTTCAACTACAATATATTATATGTCATGATATCATGAGAACGACAGATTCTTCAAAGTGGGGCAGCATTTGTGCAGGCAGCCCAGCAACACATGAAATGTCAGAGTACATAAATAGGTTTGTTTGACAAAAGACAAGCAAGATGAGCAAGAATACGCACAAGAAATGGCCGATAGTGATTTACAGACATGGGCAAAACCAATTAAATATTTTTGAGATACAAGAGGATCATTGATTTGCTAGGTTGGCAGGTTCAGTGCTTCCCAATTAATCTTTTCAAGGTAAGGCATGTGAAGAAAATCCCTCATCAACTCTACTTGTTAAGAACTATTTATTACGATAATGGAACAGAACTAAAATGACAAAATAACAGGAGAAAATAAAAGAAAACCTACCTGTGAATCCTCACTGCCACTGGCAATAAATGCTTGCTCCAATCCACCAAAACAGGATCTAACAACAAACCGAGAACGAGCATGGCCTTTGTACTTGGCAACGAGCCTTACACCTCCCTCTACATTCCAAAGATGGATTTCTTGGTTCCAAAGGCTAACAAGCAGGAACTTACTGTCCTTGGACAATGAAAATGAAGTTACTATTTGATCCTCCTCAATTAGTTTCTCAGCTCTTGCTTCCCAGTCGAGCAATAATATTGCATTGTCTCTACAAACAGTAATGATCTGCTTCCCATCGTTTGTTACTCCCAAATCTGAGATGCTTACAGTTCGCTGCCCTTTCCAACATTCCAGCTCTTTCCCACCCAAATCCCACTTGCAAATGCTCTTATCTGTAATCCCAGAGAATATTAATTTGCCATCGGGAGACCAAGCACAGGAGACCAAACCAAGGCCAACCTTTTGGTAAACATAGAGGCATTCCCCAGATGAAACATCCCAGCGTCTGACAGCCTCCTCTACCCCACAGGTGAGGAGCTGCTGGTCATCAGGGCTCCATGATACAAAACAGACAGGTTTCTGGTGACCAGATAATCTATGCTTTAAGGAGCCTCTTCCATGAGCATCAATCTATGAAAAGCCAGAAACTAAAGTCAAAAGATATTAAACTTACAAAATCATATATAAGTTTTAAAAAATGGCTTACAAAATGGAGAATGGACGAAGGGCTGGTGTTGTGAATAGTGTGGGTAGGCACCTCACCTAGGCTCAAGGCAAGGTGAGGAGCACCTTAAGATACTTGATGAGGCACTTACCCCCAAATTAAGCCCAAGGCGCCTGAGGCGTGAATTTTTTTTCCTCCGATGGTGTATTTTGGGCCATTGCTATATTGAATTTCATTCGAACATTTGATGTGCACAACATTAGATTAGAACTCCAAATATAAAGATGAAACTCTTCCTGAACTCTATACGTGAACTTCACAGTTCCAATCTAATATAAACTCTAAGTATAAATATCTATTTTAGACCATTGATCTCTTTCTTCATTTACATCCTCTCTCTGTCCCTCCGTACTCATTTTTCTTTCCTTTTTCTGAACAAGCCCCAAATTTAATGAAATCAACCTCTTTTTTCCCAAAAAATCTTTCTTTTTGCTCAATTAACCCCTGATGCATGACATTATCTTCTGATTCAAAGAAATGCACACCTCTAGCTATGTTCTAGTCTCTATTCTCTTCTTCTTCTTCTTTCTGTCTCTGCTCAGGAATGTTTTTACAGTGTTTTAATGAAATCTAATGTTTAAAATAGGGGAAGGATGCTACCAGTTCTTAAATTAGCTGCATTTTGCAAAATTTTTGTGCATAATTAAGTAATTTGGTGAAAAAATCTGATTGTGAAAGTTGATTAATTTTGCCAGGAATCCCACTGTATGTTTTACGCTGTTGAAATTAGTTGAAATGAGTTGCATCTGTTGTATAGTATTTCAATGGAATTAGCTTCATTTTGCAAAATATTGCTGATATTTGTCGCTGAAATTTGTTTCATTTGATTATATTTGCAGCGTTACCTTGGCGCCTCCATGCGCTTTTTGCCTTAAATAACACTAGAGCAATGACGAGTAATTCATGACAGGCCATGACACAGATTTTGCAGTATATTATACCTGAACTTGGGATCTGACAAAGCAAGCTCTCCTGAGATTCAACCACAAGGATACACAGGATCTGATTCATTGTACCATTTTGGATTGGACGTGTCTGGAAGGATATAAGTAGTGGAAATTGCGAGCAGGACACAAGCACAGGATGACAAAATACACCGACATGCAAATCCTAAATAGTAAGACACAGCAAAGCTCTGCCACTGCAATATAGTATCGATATCTACCTGAATGTGTGTGTGCAATATGCAAAGAAGAAGTATTGAGGTACCAAAAAGAAGAAACCGTACTATATAGATCCAATGCAAATGACTTCTCATCAGAGACAGAAATGAGGGAGCAGGATTACAAAGGAACAGCAGAGTAATGACTAAGAATTTGAAAAAGTTACTGTGATAATCAAAGAAGACAATATTACCTCCCATATAATGGCCGAGCGATCCTTGGATGATGATGCTAAGTATCTCCCATTATGAGAAAATTGTAAGAACCAGACTTCATCAGTGTGTTCTTGTAATATCTGCACCATAAAAACTAACATAAGTAATTAGTGCTTGCAGTGGAATTAAGAAATAACTAACAAATACTCTGAATAAATAGACATCACACAATGTAGTGCATTCTTAAGGTCAATTTCTAATAATTGAAAATAAAAACAATCCAATAAGCATCTAAACTAAAGATGAAGAAAGATTCCGATTCTCTGCAGAAAACAAGAGTATGTAAATTTAAATATGTGAGGAAGTAGAACAAACTGTGGGAAAATAAAACTACACTGCATGGATGCTCATGTGAAAGGCTTGTCTTGGGTACGATAAAGAAGAAAATTGCCTTAATCTTATGATCTAACGGTTCACGTAAAAAGCACCCACCAAAGACTATAATGAATTTCTATGATCGCACTGCTCTGTGTGTGTGTGTGTGTGCACGTGTATATAAACCTAGGATTCAAATATTGTCGTCCCCCCCCCCCCAAAGGAAAAAAAACCAATTGTGATAAAATATAACCCACTATGCACAACCCATCACGTATACCCTTCCCCACTATTAAAATACAACCATAAAACACACCTTGAGAGATTCCATCATCCCGAACAAAGCCAACCAAAACAATGCCGCCATGCTACAGTCCACCAACCAACCACCTCTAAAGTCATTTGAATAGATGAGTCCTAGAGTCCTAATTTATGATTGATTACCTAGGTTGTCTTTTACTTTCTATTGTTGTTCCTTCATGTTTTCCAAAGGTTTTTAACCTAAGGTAGTTCAGTAATTTTTTCATTGGGCTGCAAGGTTGGTGTGTGACGTGTAAAGCTGCTTTGGAAAGCATTGATTATTTATTTCTACAGTAATCTATTGCTATGTCCTTGTGGAATAAATTGATTGACTTGGCCGGTATGAGTTGAGAGATTCCTGAATTATCTATATCCTTGTCTATTGATGATTTGAAAGGTTTTGGGAGCCTTGATAATGGTATGACTCTTTGGTACTCTGCTATTTTTACTACATATTAGATTATATTTAGAAGGAAAGAAATACGAGTATATTTGAAGATCAAAGCGAGTGGATGGAAGGATTATGGGATCGCACCTATTTTTTAGCGACTTTTTGGGCATCGATAACCAATGACTTTAAAGGAATTCCGCTTTTTGCTATTCTAGTGGATTGGAGAGCTTCATGTGATTTTTAGGCATTTATGTCATTTTCTCTTTTTCCTTTGTAATTTTTTCTACTTGGCTGGATTTCTTATCGAAGTTGTACCTTTCATTTTTTATTATTACAAAGTTTCCACTTCCTATCAAAAAAAAATATGTACGTTATGTCGGCCAACTGACTCAAAGTCTAAGCCTCCCAAGTCAACTTGGATCCCAAGACAACTGGATCCAAATGTTTCCTGATCAATTAGTTGTTCTTGGTATCCAAGCCCTATTTATTTAAAATGATGTCCTAGCTATATTTGGCATGCAACAAAGAAATGCTTCCAGCCAGCTCAATTTATCCGTTATGCAACCCTCCTATAGGTGTGATACCCAAGTCCCCAGGTGTTTTTGCCTAGCTTCTCTCCTTCACTCTCTTCCCCTCCCTTTCCCTTTGTTCTCTCAAAAATATGCACTCTTAGTCAACCCAAAAACAAGTCCGATATCTTGTGTTCTAAGCCTTAAACATCTGATATACAAGCCAAACCTTGCCTTCCTTGAAACCTCAACCTTGCAAAATATTTGCCCGCCCCTTGCCTTATTCGGCCTCAAAGCCCTGTCATTTTTTATTTTCATTTATAAATCCCCTAAACCAATTTTCTAAACTAGACGGCCACAAAACCCAACACCAATCAATCCCTGAAGACCCCTGTTAATGCTGTTTGTCTAAAACAGTGCTGAACTTCAAAGGTCCTGCATCAGCCACCTACCATAGTTGATATGTGGAATTGGCTTTGTAACCCTCTCGTCAAATTCTCCCATACTAAATATTTATCCGTATTCTAATCTATTACACTTTTTCATATGTATAGCCATTACACATTTAAAAACCAAAAAGAAAGAGAGAGAATATTACCAACATGAAGGCGTCATACAATGTGCCATACACCTTCATGAACTCATAATAAAATAACTACAATGCTATTCACTTGTTCACAGTTCCATAAATCTGTATCATGTGAACTGTTTTCTACCACAATAAAGGAAATGACTGTGCTAATAAAAGTGACAAAACTTATCCGAAAAGAAATAACATGCATATAGACAGTCTAAATGACTCAAAATTTGACATGCTGATGGTACTTTACATGTCTATAGCAACTATATAATTTGAAGTCAAGAAATCCAAAAGAAATGACCTAACCTGCAAAGTATGGGAAGGAATATGGTCTCTTCCACACTGGTGATCAGTTAACAACGACATTTCCTCAACCACAGAGTTGTGAAACAAGCAAGCATCTCGTTGCAGGTCAAGAGCCTGTTCAACAAGATGTATCAACCTTCCTTCCGGGATGATCACTGTTGGTGGAAGCAATTTCTGCAATTCCTCCAGTAGTTTTGGCCGTGACTTGACCCTCATACCATCTTCAGCAGAAATTCCAATAGGTGCATGTTGTGAAGGATATACAATACAAGAAGAAAGGTCGCGAACTCTATTATTGTTTATGCAGAGAGGTGCAATTTCAGTCCTCAATGTCTTCAAGGCATCCATAATTTTTCCTTCATCCAAAAGTTCAAAAAATTTCTGCTCCAGTATTAAAGAAGATGCTAACTTAATGATGGTTTCATCCAGTAGAATGATTTTATGCAATGTGGCTACACTTTCATCCCAATTACCATCCAGGATTTGCTGTGTAAACAATTTTACTACACTTGGATGCAAGGGTATCCCTGACTCTTCCTCTAGTTGTGCCCCAGTATTCTTATAGCCAAGAGAATATAATGCCTCAGCTATGATTCGGACAAGTTCCACTTTCTTAAAAACCCCTTTTGAACCAGCAATTTCGACCTCCCCTTCAGATGCCAGAGGTCGTGCCATCGAGTCACTCAATGAGCAACTTGAAGGCTCCCTAAGAGACGTACCGTTTGAATGACCTTCCAATTTTCCAGAGGACACTTTTACACGTTTTGATGGTGGCTCATCATCCTCTACACCTCCCATGAAATGTAAACCTCAGCCCATATATAATCACAAAGAGATGAACACAATGAGCCGGAGGGATGATTTCTATTTATATAGTCTGAAACAATTTGCTGCATAACATAATCGAAGGAGAGGTTATAAAATACAAAAGAAGCACTATGAGAAATAAGAAAAAGAACCCAAAAAGTAAGATTAGTGCTAACAACAGAAACTCAAATTTTATACAGACACATGCATAATAAGTGCAAAATACCTATTGGTTACAAATAGTCAAATGAAAAAACACATATACATTGCAGAATATGCGATTCTATAGTTCTCATTGTTCCAAGGATTAGACACAAAAAGTTTAGTCAAATGGCTCCACATTGGACTGAAAAATTCCATCAAACAGGAACAAATTTCTAAGGACAAACTGACAAGATACAAATACAAGGTCCCATCTAAAAAATCTCCTCCAAGATCACAATAAAGTTCTTCGAAGCTTGGCCTGATTTTAGCCTGGGGAAAGTAACATCTGAGTTTGAAACTTACTTAAGCCAGATATTCATACAAAGCCTGGTCACATATGGCCAAGTTTAGCTAAGCCTGTTGAGTAGCCTTTTTTTTCTCATAGGAAACAAGACAATTTTATTAATTCAAAAATGATACATAAAAAAAGAGTAACTGAGATGGACAAGATGGCCAACCATGAAATGGAAAAACAACAAATCACAACTCATTAAAATTATGTGCCACATGAGACCCTTCAATCCGCCAAAATACCAAAAAAGCAGAATGCGATCAAACTCTTTTGAAACAAAAGCCCACAATGATGCCAAAAAAATATATTTGATCCCACAAACCTTTCTTCTATTCTCCTCCATCCTCAAATACCTTAGGAGTTCCTGTCCAACCATATTACCCATATAATGGCAAAAATTGCACAATGCCATATGGTCACCCCCTTCTTGTGCATTGCCACACCCCTCGAATACCATTAGCATGGAAGAAAAGGTCCAAGGAATCACCCAACTCAATCATGCTAATTGAGATAGTTCGGACAACAAAAACAAAGAAATAGGACATTGCAAAAAAGGTGATCAATAGTCTCGCTAGCACATGCACACATCACACACACCACTGTGTAGAAATGCAAAGAAACGGTCTTCTTCTCTGAAGCACATCATTAATATTTATCCTACCATGAGCTATAGTCCTATAGTCCATGCACAAACTTCCAGCTTGATGGGACCTTCCAAAACATCATAAAAGGGGTACCATAGAGTGGGAAGGATAATTATTCAATTTATTGAAGAAAGATTTACGTGAAAAGAACCCAGAAGACTCAAGAATCCACTCTCTTTTCTCACTTGATTCATGACACAAGCTAAAATCATTACTCTGGGATAGAAGTGACACTATTCTGTAGTATCTCCATCGAGATGCTAAGGAAATCCAAAATACAAAGAACTAATTAATGAGAATAATGAGCCAGCCAACCAATGAAAGATCCCAAAAGATGAGATAAATGACAAAGGTGTGGGAACATAAATGAAAAAGATGATAACTCAACCTAGACATCTTTGCAAAAACAAACTCTCTCCCCACTACCCACAATGAATGTATTGAAAAAACTACGAACGAACCTGAAAGTTAAACTTCCACAGGTATTGATAAGTTGGCCTCATTAGCATCCTACCTATTAGCTTGTAAGAATAATCGAATATCATAGTGAATTTTGGTCATGTGAAAATCTCCGGTATCATTTACTAACTAAGGCTACATTTGTTCTCTTCAAATTTCCCCAAGGCCACCTTTAACTTTATTTCTTGACACCACCTCTTAATTCATTAAATGATCCCTCCTTCATCCCTCACTTCCTTCTTGTAGGAAATCTCTCATCATTTTCTCAATTTTCTTTATAATCTTCCCGGGCATCTTAAAGTGAGAAAACAAGTAGGTATACTTGCCAAAACTATCTGTACCAACGTTAACCTACTCACTTTAGAAATATAAGCTCTTTTCCCCCATCTAACCTTTTCTCCACCCTTTCCATAACAAGGTCGCAAAAAGCTAAAAATAAAAGATTCTGCCACAAAGGAAGAACTAGTACTTTAAAAGTCAGTACCCCACATCACACCCCAATATCCCTACCAATCTAGAAATTTTATCCATTTAAGAAGTTATACCACAATCAAACTTTTCACCATATTGACCTTTAATCCTGCAAACTATTCCAAATACCTCCGCTATCTTTATAAATTAATAAATCTTTCCTCATCTCTCTATGAACAACCGAATTGCAAATGTAACATATATGAAACAGAAATTCCATCCCTCCCAATCATAAAATCTTCCATAAGATCAAATCTTTTTGCTACTTACTAACTTACTCAACCCATCAACCACTAAAGTAAGAGACAAATGATAAAGCATCACGCTGCCACAACCCCCTAATTGTTTTGAGCCTCCCTCTGGGACAAGTTCATGATTGCAATCCTTCTCAAATCCACCCCCTCCAACTCCTTCAAAATCTTTTCACCGCCGAAACAAGATAAAAAAAACTCCAATACACATGGTCATTGGCTTTTTTTGAAGTTAATTTTAAAAACAATATCTTCTTTGCCCCTTGAGCCTTTGCATAGTTATTAGTATTGTATACGCCATGATACACAAGAAAACGATATGAATCATGCTTTTTTATCATTTTTTAACTGTCTTGTACGATACAAAATACGATACGTATTTTCTAATACATCCAAATACACACAGATAAACTTTTTTATTTTTTTGTTTTTTTTGGTTGTTGGCACTGAAACGATATCATTTCACGTGGGCTGTTATTTTTTTAAGCCAGCCAATGAAACGACACCGTTTCACTGACTAGGGCTTAAAAAAATAAAGCCCTTCTTTAGTTCTTTTGATCGACGAAGACCAGAAACAACTTTTGCCCCTCTGGATTTGCGAAGCAACACAAGTCCCTCTCCAATCCATTAGACAGCAAAAGCCCCTTCGAAATTTGAATTAGAGGTCTTTGCATTTTAATATTAGTGAACTACGCTAAAAACTTCAATAGTTAGTGAAAAATTAATAAAATGTTATATTATTATGAGTTTATGACTTTTTTGCAAAAGTATATATATTTTATTAATAATTAGTTAGAATTATGCGTATCTTACGATACAATACACTATTTTTTTAAAAATGATACGCCTTCTGATACACGATTTGACAACCATGGGCCTTTGAACATAGAACTCTTGCACATTTATGAGAATCTCGAGAACCCGTAGTAGGACAACAAACATTATAGTCCCAAATCACAACAATGTAAAAATAAGAATATACACAATTTTAGCAATAAATAAAACATTGATCAATTGATCTGGTCTATCACAAAACACCCTAAACATGTTTATCTTTTGACTGTTAATGCAAAAGACTCCAAACTTAGTTAAACTCTCACGATCCTTTACTAGATTCTGCAATATATATCCCTTAAAATCCAAGCTATAGTGAAGAGGATGACCTTGCAAAAAATTATAAAAATTGCAACATAATGGAACAAAGCATGTGCTAACTCAATTGAACTCAAAGGGCTTATAGTGATTTAACAATAACTATAAAAGTATAGACTATGACAGAGAAAGAGATAGAAAATTAGTGAACCTAGATTTGGCTTCAGAAATGACTACACCAGATTAGAATGACATTTTAGGTCTAACTTCTCAATTCCAATATTTGACGTTCACTTATTGCTAACAACTGTGTGAAGCGACCACTGTTTCAGATGCCTTTATTTTACACAGCATGGAAGTTGTGATGCTACAACTCCAAAGACATAATGACTTAAAAAGTTAATCCTTTCCCTAAATTCATATCACCCTAACTCCAGTACTGCACAACGCTAATCAACTATACTTTTTCATGACTCAATTTCTATGTTTCTTTTGATAAGTAATCTCTAATCTAATCAACTACTCATGATTCTAATTAAGCAAAATATTTCTAATAGATGATCAACCCCGACTCGTTTGCAGTCAGGTTGAGAACACAACTTTAGAATTGTCTGAGGTAGACAACTGTACAAGCACAAATGAGGTCAGCAACAAGGTCACATTGTTTAAGCAACTTGATAAGCATCACTGAGGTCAACTTTCGATCAAACACCTTCTGGTGGACAGAAACTTGACATCCCCTAGTTTCAATCACTTCACAATAGCAAAAGCTTCTATTATTAACTGCACACTTAGATGGAAAGGAAATAATAAGTGCATTAATAAAGGAAACCCTAACCTACTCCAATTGGAAAGAATGGCAAAAAAAACACATATCTCCAAAATCAAGATAGCCTCCCCACATATGTGATATAACAGGCAAAACTAACACCATCAACCAATCTTGTAGTTAATACAACTAAGTAAATTACACAAAGTCATTCAATCTCTTGAAAGCACATGTATATTTCCTAAAGGCATAAACAGCAGCACGTATGGTACATCGACCAAAATGTATAAACAGAGCCAATGCCCCTTTATACACACAAACTTCTCCCCAATAGTATTGGGTAGCAAATAAACTTCACAAGTTTATTGGAAAACAAATTCAAAATACTTCATTAAATAATCCACAATACCATAGAAAGAAAATGTAAATCAACTATTGAGTCATATCTTGTCAAATTAAAGAAGATCTAGAACAACACATTGTAAAATGTGTTATTAATAAATTAATTGAGAAAGAAAAATAAGCATCTAAAAATAATTCAATATTTAGTTATCAAGTTCCCAAACATACGCACAAAACAATTTGATTTCCAAAGTTGCTGAATTTTTGCATTTACCGAGCAGATTTCAATAACTACTCAAAACCCACATGAGAGCAATCAAATTACAGAAAATCTTAAATACAAATCAAAAACATGAAATCTGACAAGAAAATAAATGAAGATGAAATCAATCTGTTACAGACCTGCAAGGAAATGAAGACCACCATAAGATTACCCAACTGAGAAACAAAAACACCAGCATATATCA